TCGGGGGCAGCACTCCCCATCAGGCACAGTGGCATTGGAACAAGGCATGAGAGGGCAAGACACTTTCCGGCATATAGTGGCAGAGTTCTGTAAAGAATTGAAAGAATTCAATAAGCAAGCAGGATATAAAGCATACCTCTGGAGTCTAAACTCACAGCTGATAAAGTCAGATGATAAAGACGCCCTTTGTGCAGCACTTAAAGGCTCACCTAGCACATCTAAAGTAGAAAACCTTGTATTTAGAGCTGATACAATTCAAGAGTAGTTCCTTCCAGCTATTCTTACTCCATCTTCACCTCATTCCTACCCTCCATCCATACTATTTCCTTCTCAGTTAAGCAGTTTTGTTTTGAATAAATTGGTCAAGAATGACTACTAGAAACAGGCTAGAGTAAAAGACTGAGTAAAGAACTAATGCTATACGATTCCCAAAGTATACGTTCAGACTTCAAGGGAAAGAACCAAGAAGTCAGCTTTTCTGTTAATACGGATTTAAGCTGATTACATGGTGAACATAAAATGAGTTCAGCGGACTTGGCTGAGGAGCCTTAAAAATTTATAACTTATACTTAAAGGTCTTTGATCTTTAAGCCAAGCAGGCAGGGCAAGAACACCCATCTCCAATCTCAATGAGAGATGAAGTGTAGTCTGTAGTTTTGTTTCTTGAAGGCAGTAGCTTTGTCCAAAGAAGGCCCTTGTGATAACCCTTAGAAGCCCCCTTTTTCCCCAAGCAAATGACTATATCAAGGCAGATACAGATAACATTGAATAAGAGGGTTGGTGGGAAGATGAGCAAAGGCAGAAGTCACAGTATCACATGCTGCATGCAAGACTGGAGATAGAAAGCTACAGAAGCAAATGCAGATTTTTGTGAGTTGCCCTGTACTGCACATCTACAGATACTCAGCCTTTGGCTTCTAAACAGAGGCAAGAAAGATCAGACACTCTTTGGTAGACTGATACTCTGAAATGCTTTGCTTATATATACTTTAAGCATTAAAGCAGAACAAATAATGAATATCTTGTCAGGATACCCTAGATTTACAGAGTTCAACTGAAATCTGGAAAAAGAGTTTCTGTTGCATGTGATCTGTTAAAAGCCTACAGGACATAGCTAGAAGCATTCATTATATAATGAAAAAAGGTGTAAATTTAAGAGCCTTTACTGAGGACTAGAATCTTTTCTGGTAAGCCAGCAGGAGGTTCACTGAGGATAGAATATCCATTTAAAGCATTCTGGGGAGGAAATATGGTAATACTGTTTGGTCTTTTAATACTGACTTGTAGATGTGCACATAGATTACATAGAAAGCAGAGGCATTCCCCAAATTCTGAAATTGAGTGTCACTCTCATACAGATATTAAAAATGCATTTAGTGTAATTCTAAATTACTGCTGCAGTAATACTATACAAAAGTTGTAGTCATATAAGAGATTTAATGGGGTAAAAAAGACAAGCTGAATACTTTCTCTGGGTATGATAGGGCCCCATTCTGTGTAGGATTTGTTCAAACAAAGAACGTCATTTAGAATTATCTGTTAATTTGAAGTCATGAATTTATATGCAGAGAACTTATGAATGCAAAGAATCTTACCTGGCAAGTACATTCAGTGCAGCTGTCAATAGTCCACTCTTCCTTATTTTTGTGCAAGATCCCATTATGAATGCATACTCCAGGAGTGATCTGAACCACTTTGGCAATCAGTTCATTTTCTTCAGTCTTAAATGGCGGGTGTCAGGGGGAGGGCAGCAGAGAGATGATATTTAGAAGTTAACACAGAAAAAACACTTCCACAAATTCATAGCAAGAGTGAAGTTATTACTGTTTATCCAAGCTCAAAGGACAACTTACACTTCTTTAAGTGACAGATAAGACATACTGTGAGTATAGCAAACACTTACCACTTTGCGAACTCTGTCTTGAAGTGTTGTCACCATGGACCGTAGCCCTTGCAGTTCTACAAACATGTTAGTTAGTTCATCACAAGAAAAGCCACAGACTGCTTGAATGTCCTTTGTTTTATGGCCAATGTAATTGGTGCGGATAGCTGGGCTGGAACCATTCATGGGGTTGTCCAAAGTAATGATTGCACTAGTAGCTAAGAGACAAGAAAGTTTACATAAAGTAAATGCATTTTTTTGCCACATAGATTTATAATTCCTGGGTAGGACTTGTTACACAGCTACCACCAGATTCACTAGAATATGTCCAGAAATATTATTTCTTATGCAATGTAGATTTGAATGTCAGCATACTTCTGAGTTCTGTTTCAGGTTGTCTTTCTAATGTACTTAATAGATCATTGGATTCAGAAGATTGCAGACTTACAGCTGGAGCAGCCTTTGTTCCTCAGAATAGTTTCCAGAGTTGTTCCAAACACGAACCGTACATTCTGCAACAGTCCCTGTGGAAAAAGAAAGAATTGCAGCTACCTGCAACAACTGCAAGGGAAAGAAGGGTAACTTGCATGGAGAGAGCCTGTAGACAATAAAGTTCACCTAAGTTCATCACAAGTAATTTCACAACAGACAGATGGCAAGGTGAAACATGTTAATTTATTCTCCTGAGTGAGCGCAAGCCCTGCTTCCTAACATTCTCAGTCTTGACCACAAAGACTTGGCAATTCGCCAGGCAGGAAAGGAAAAAAGCATCAGTTTCTCAGTCTTGTATAATAAGTTGAGCAATCAAACTACAACCACCTGTCCAGAAGCTTTGGGATCTACTGTTGCATGAAGTTCTCCCCACAAATCTAATGCTTCACACTTCAAGCTGCATTGATAGAGTTTAGTAAATTCAGAGGTGGTCCACATGAGATGTACAGAAGCAGAATCTTTTCTCCCGTTTCCTACAGTTTTCTAGCTGTTTAAGTTGGTTGAATAATGTACTTTCGAGGTGTATGACTGAAAATAATACGCAAAAATGCAAGGAAAAAAATCTTACCTGGAAGTTGTCATTGACTCCCCCTTTGGCAATACGGAGCCTGGCGCTGCTGGCCAGGTCCCTGGTGAAAATGTTTTGAATGGGAATGTCCAGTTCAGCATTCTCCATTTTCTCACACCCCACATAAAGCTGAGCCCGGTCTTCTTGCACAAACAAGGTTATGTTCTTCCAGTGTCCTGTAGCTAACAAAGCATCCTCTACAGACACCAGCTGCTGCTTGCCATCACCAGAGAGGCTCAGGTCCAAGGTGCCTGCCTTGCCGTTTGAAACTAGACTGAAGACATGACCAGAGCCGTCTTTCCGTTCCACAGCCAGCAGCGTGCCTCTGCTCTTCTTGGCTTGCCGGAGAGTGGCCAGAAGGATGAAGCCCTTCTCAGCATGGATGATATCTAGCAAGTCTTGGAACTTGGAGTCAGGGACAGCAGGGATGCGACTGGCATCTTCAATGCGGTAAGCAGGGCTGGAGGACTCCGGCCCCTTCACCAGGTGCACCCCAGGTGCCCGGCGCCCAGCTCCCTTGCGAATCAAGCCAGCGAGTTCAAAGAGATCAAAGACGCTGTCATCATCACCCCGGGACTCTGCAGAGAGACCAGAGTATCCACCGTAAGCCACGGAGAAGAAAAGGCTGCGAAACCATACATCTCTCAGGGCTACTTAACACACTGACTAGCGATGTTGGCACTACAAGGTACGCAGAGCACGGGCAGCAGCTCTCGAGGCAAGGCAGTCCCACCGGGAGCTGCGTGCGGCACTCCGCGCACATTCTTGTGAAGGAGCCAGGAGGCACGGGAGCGCCGGGTACCCGCTGAGTGACACCGAGGTAGCGGCACGCTGACACCTCATTAGGCTCTGACGGAGGAGAAACGGCAGAGGCACGGCACACCGCAAGGCTCTCACAGCAGCCGCCCGGAGAAGGGACAGCAACCCCCTGTGGGGACATCGGGTGGGCGAGATGCTCGAGAGCTTCTACTTTTGAAGGCTGCAGGAATTCCACGCCGAAGTTCCGTAACTAACTACCGCCCTGCTTAAAGTCTCTCGTTGGCCGAGCCGTGGCGTTCTGCCCCTCGGAGCGTCTCCCTATACCTACCCAAGGCGCGCTCCAGCCGACCCCGCCCGCGCCGGCCCTTACCTGCCGTGCGTTTGGCTTCCGGGCCACCGAGCACCAGGAGAAGGAGAACGAGAACAGCGACTGGCCCCATGGCGAGCATCTGCCTCTGACCGACCTGGGAACGGCCACAAAGGAAAAGGTCACAGAGCTGCCCCGCCGCTCGGCGCGACGGGACGGGTGTCCCGGGACGGCGGGAACCGCATCAGCACTTACCTGCAGGGAGAGCGGGCGAGCAGCTCCCGCTACGGGCGAGCGATATCCTCCGGGGAGCGCGGCGGCGCCTCGGCGCAGAGAGCGGCGCGCTGTGCAGCAGGGGTCGGCGCTGCCCGGTGCTCTGCCGATGCCGGGCGCCGCGCGCACCTTTAAAGGGTCGCTCGCATTCCTGGGCGCGCGGCGGGCCAATCGGCGGCGGCGGGGCAGGAAGCGGGAGGCGTGCGCGAGACGCGCAACCGTCGGAGACGGCGTTCCACAGAGCGGCCGCCGCAGGTCGGGGGCGGGGCCGCGTGCCGAGCCGCGCGCCGGGTGGCGCGCGGCGGCCGCGGACCTGCCGGAAGCGCCGCTTGGGGGCGCCCCGCGAGCGGTGTCGGCGGCGCTCGTCCTTCTATGGCGAGTCCCGGCGCCCAAACGGGCGGCCGCCGCTCCTCGGCCCCGGGCGGAGGAGCGGGAGGCGGCCGGGTCGTCGTCCAGACCGGGAGCGCAGCGCGGCTGGGCACGCGGCCAGGCGTCAGCCGCTCTGGAAGCGGCTTAGAAGCGAGCCCCGACGCGGGGATAGCGGTGCCCCGGCCTTGCGGTGCCGACACGCGGCAGCCCCCGGGGCACGAGCCGCGGCGGGTCGGCCGAACCTCGACCCTCGTGGTAGCAGCGCCCCCCTCCTCCGGCACGCGGATGTGGGGACAGCACGTAAACCCCGACAGCTCTCCCCGCACAGCCCCAACGGAGAGAAAGGCGGGGGGGTGGGACCCTCCGTGTCTGTATCGCGGGGAACTTTGTGTGAGATGAGCAACACCGAGCTGCGGCTGAGGAGCCGGCTGTTAGTAGTGAACAGAATGAATAACTGCTCCGGCCAGGAATGTCCCGTGTAACCAGATTTCAGGTAAGGGGAGAGCTCCTGAAAATGAGCGAGGCAGATTCTCTACATAATGTCCCACTCTATATGACTAAAAGTTACTTGAAACGGCCCTAAAGTAATCAAATTCAAAATAACGGCCAATTCCTCTGCCTTCCCTGGCCCTTTCGCATTTGGCATTTTCTCCTGCAGAAAGCCAAGCGTCAGAGAATGAGAAGAATCCATCAGCCGATGGCATGTGTGGTGAGGGGAAATAGGAGCACTCTTGGCAGCCCGAAACCCTGGCTGGACCGGGCTCTGAACTGAGCTGCACTGTGTGAAACACATCAGGCTGCTGGCCCGGCTGATGCACAAGGCACCAGTGCTCTGCAGATCATCCCAGGAAATGCCTTGGGAAATTCTTGACTTAAGGAACAAGATAGCTACAGGACTGTGTACGTTAGGGGGAAGCCAGAATGAGTGTCATCCCTTCTATCTTAGGAAACAGAGCATGCCATCTGAAGCAGGCCTTTCGTTATGAAGTGATTCATTGAAGAAAAACCTCAAGTGCCACAAAATAAGCAGAGAGCAAGAAACAGGGAGAGATGCTGGCAATGAGGAGGAACCTGCTAGGGTATAAAAATCAGTAGGAAAGAGAGCAAGAGGGAGACACTGACCCCACTTGGACAAGTCTAAGCGTCGCCTGGTTTAGTTCACTAAGCCCTATATGTGCCAGTGGCTTCCTGTCGTAAACTTGCACAGAAGTAAAAGGGACTGTATCCAGACCTTATTGCTCTCTACGGCTGCCTGGAAGGAAGCTGTTGTAGAATGAGGGTCAACCTCTTCTCTCAGGTAACAGCAGTAGGAAGGAAAATAATGGCCTCAGGTTGCTCCAGGAGAGGTTCAGGTTGGATATTAGGAAAAACTTATTCTCTGAAGGAGTGCTGAGGCATTGGAACAGGCTGCCTAGGGAGGTGGTGGAGCTGTCGCTAGAGGTTTTCAACAAAAGGGTAGATGCTGCACTGAAGGACATGATCTAGTGGTATAGTGGTGATTAATTAGTAATTGAGCTAGATCTTAGTAGTTTTTTTCCAACCTTAATGATTCTATGATTCCAGATCCCTGAATCCAGAGGGTTCTGATCAAGCTTTTCCTCATGAATCCCTAAGTCAAGCTGAGGTCATGTTGAAAGCTGAAAGAGAATGTCAAAACTGTTTTTACAGTAAGTGCGGAAGTTGGGGCAAGAATCCAGAACCACCCACTTCAAAGTGAAAAAGAACATCCCATGTTTATCTCTTACTTTATCCGAAGGTGCATGGATGAACCTCTCAACTTTTGTCAGAATATTCCCTATGAGATGCTTGTAACCTCAGTGAATGGGCATTCTAAGCATGAGATGCTGGTTGATACTTGAAAAAGTGTTGGAGCCTATGGAGCAGTGGAAAGCAATGATAACACGTTCTTCTAGGACAGGAGCATGCCTATGAAGATATCTAGTTTAGAAAGCAATCTAGAAGGTTACTTACCCTTTCTGAAGACTGGTAACACCTCAAAAAGAGCTCAGTCTCTAAAGAGAGATTTTGGCTGCTAACCCTTAAATGAGGGTGAGATGGGGTGGACCCAAGTTCCATCCCTTCCGGTCACTCTTGCTTGCACATTGCTTGCACCTGAGCTCCTTGGGTTGGCCATACCTTCTCACTTGGTGCTCATTCATTGGTTCAGGCCATGACCGAGCAATTCCCATACAGAGCCCAAAAAAACTCATAAAATTCCTCATGACTTTGAAAAATAATCAAATTGAGATCCAAATTTTTCAATTTGGACTTGTCTTCAAATTTTAAAGAATGCTTTTAGAAAATCAAACTCGAAGTATATGAATAAATCAGAAATGCATCCCAATGACTGAGGTCAAAATCTGGCCCATAATTTTGCCGTGTCCAACACTTCCAGGTTCAAGTTTTTATCACAGTGTTTAAACCTAGCTCTGTTGACCTCTGTGCTGCTAATACCAGTTTACATTCTTATCATTGATACTGGAATTTCCATTAGGGAAGGGAGGACTGATTTGTTGAAACAGTTCTAGGGGAATTTACCTGCTGTCATTTGAATGTGCTCAAGAATGTGAGCTGGGCTAAAACAGGTACCAGCTCTATAGATGTTTCAAATCATGAATCTGTTCCCTTTCTTGTCACGAGTCTTGGAATCACATCCTTTCACCATATCTCTCTGGGGTACAAGGTCCTCTGTTTACTTCCATTGAATATTCATTGCAGAATATTTTACAACTCCAAAGCTTGTTAGTATTGCTTTTGCTTTGAGACTGCAAAAATTGTAGCTGGAAATAAGTAAAAGCCCCACAGCAAGTATTTAGGACAACGTTGGTAATGATTTCACTTCTTTAAGTGTGGTCTCACTCCGTAGTAGTCATTGAATCAGCCAGAGTTAATGCATTCATGTTACTCTAACGATTTGAAAAATTAATTTCTATTGCAGAACCATTAAATTCATTGGTGATACATGCAGAACTACTTTGACTTTTTCAATTGCTATACAGAGAGTAATTTCTTTTAGTTTGTAACAGCTGTTCAAGTGAAAAATGCTGGAGTGTTTTATTAACTCTTTATCAACTGAACAAACTGATTTTCAGGACGAGAGTTGGAACCTGAGTGTTGATAGAAGTATGGATCCTAATCTATGGATCTGAATCTAAAGATTCAGCTTTTCTTGCCCTGCAGTGGCTCACTTTCTGTACTTGTTGGGACTGCTTTTCTCCTTTCTTGAAGCATCATCTTTCTCAGTAGAACAGCTGAAGTCAGAACTGAGCATGCTGCCATGTTATACTGCAGTGTTTCACATCCACATGGATAATAGTAAGGTTCAAGAAAGTGAATAGTGTATCTGCTCTGATTTTAGTGTGCAAATTTGTTGAAAATAATCAGTCAGTGTGGTTTCAAGTATGGTCTCAATCCAAGGTAAGCCATGAAGAAGTGTAGTTGCTATTATAAATGAACCTTTCTCTAGATTAGATTTGTCTGGAATCTTTTTATAATGCTATCACCTAGCACACAGAAGTATAGACTTTTTCATTTAAAGTTTTTAATATAGAAAATAGAATCTTAATAACCTGTCCCGAAACTGTAATTTAGGGGTAATGATCTGGCTGATTCAATTTAGGAAGTTCAGTGGAACGGTGCCACTGAAATGCATGGTATTAAAATAATTCACAGCAGTTTATCTGTTCTGTTTTAGGCACGCAGAAGAAAAGCTTTAAAAATGTACAATATAATTTCTAATAAATGTGTAAAGTGTACGAAGATAAATTTAAATATAGAAATAATGAACAAAAGAGATTATGAGTTTGGTTGTTACTATCATCATCATCATTCCACAATTTAGCAAAGGTCTAAAAAATTTTCTCATGCTGCGCAAAATTCCTTTGGCTTGCTTTCAGGGGGATTCATTGCACTTCCCGTCTGAAAACAGACTTGGGTTTGCTGGTTATGTCCTTCCTCTGTTAAAGAGTCTTCAGAAGGCCTTGTTTGTTTTAGGGTCAAACCTAAGCCTAAACAAAACTGCGAAAACAACTCGCAGTTTGGATTCAGTGCCTGAAGTTGGTTGAGGAAGATCTCACCAATTATGGCCTTCTGTGGCTGTGCTCTGTTGCTGTTCCTGGTGCTGTCAGTAAAGATAATGATGGCTAGAGGCCAGAGGATGTAGGTACTTGTTGGAGGAGTGTGTATTTGAAGGCAGGACATAACCGTTCCCCAGTGACGTGGACTCCAGCTCATTGTTCTGTGGTAGATTCATCTCATGTCTCTGGAAGAGGCCCTCTATGAAAACTAGTGTGAAAAAATTGCTTATACCAAAATACCTTGACAAGCAAACCATGCTTAGCGATTCTGGTTCTCTTAGTGTGCAGGTGTATTCCCTATGCACATCACATCTGCCTGCGTACAAAAATCAGATTGGATATTTTTATCTTTGAAGTACTTGCATTGAACATGTAATGATAGGGTTTTTGTACAGCAGTGGCATACAGTATTGTACTGCTGCATTACCAGAGAAGAAGTAAGGCCAATCAGTCGTCTTTAAGCCTTTTTCCTTAGATGAAATTTGCGTTGCTTTTATAAGAATTGTAATTTAAAGTACAAAGTGTAAACTGCTTCCCTACTGTATTCCTGAAACCAAGAACAGTTACTGTACTTCAACTCAGTTTCCTTTGTCTCTGCAGAAATAAAGAGGACAAAAAGCAGCATTCCCAGTGAAAAGATATCTTCATACACTGCCCTTGCCATCAATGGATCAAAGGTAACCTTAGATATAGGCGCCTATTCTCTGCCTTTGCAAAGTACTTCTAGCCAGTGAATCATTAGAGCATGTATTGAAATTCAAGCACATGGTAGAATTTCCTCGTTCTTGTTAAAATTCAGAGCATGCTTGTGGATGTGTGCTTTCAGATGTTCTGCTTAGTTGAGGTGAGCATAAGTACATGTGTTTATACATTTGCATACAGGACCTTTGATCCCATAAAGTGATTGAAAGCTGCTTATTTGCATGGCAGCAGTCTGTGACCCAGTGAGTTTCTATGTGTTGTAAACAAGCAGCTGCAGAGCTTATATTCCTTTTCGGGTAGTCACAGAGGAAAGAAGAAACTTCAGTTATTGTTCACCTATCAGAGCATCTTTCGTCTCCAGCATTAACCTTGTGTTACACAATCAGTCTGAACTTGATTATACACAAGACAGAGCGTATACAGTTTACCCATGTTGTCCAATGACAGTGCTCTATCTCTGTGCTTTTCTTCTTTTAATTAGGCAAAATCAATCAATTAATCATGGGTTCAAAGCACTGCTCCTAATAATGCCTTTACTTAATATTGCATAATTTAAACATCGGAGAAAACAGCATTGAAGGATCTGTGCAACACACAGCTGGGTCTTGCTGATGGTGATGTGATAGAGAAAGTGAATAATGTATGTTAAAACATATTAAAAAGACTGTGCTGTCATTACACAACTGGAAAAAAACATTTAAAGTAACTAACAGAAATGATGAATAAACAGTAATTTGTTCCTGGGAAGGAACTGTAATTTTCTACCAGGAAGTGATGTGCCTAGGAGTTTCTTAAAAGCCAGTTACTTAAAATGAAGTGCCTAGAAGGGACTGAAATAGAGAAGTAAAAACCTTGTGCTGTAATTTCCTAAGTCCCCTCCACTTGTCACAGTAGGTGAAGCTGTCTACTTTTTCACCTTTCATGAGAACTGATTGATAGAGCGTCCTTTGTCACAGTTTACGTGTGCTATGGACTTAGTCTAGATGAACAAATTAAGACAAATGCTGCTCTTTACTGCTGAGCTGCAAATAAGCAGTGCCAGCTTTTGGTCACTCCCTTATTCCTCATAAGTGTCTGCAGGGGTCTGACAGAGCAGCCGTTACACGATGCACACGTGTGGGTAACACTTTAGGAAGACTGGAAAAGTTCTGTCTCATTTTGAGGAAGGAGACTGAATAGCAAAACTGCTCACTGTAGTTATTTGCAGGCTTTTATTACAAACAATGCCTTGGGGGCTGGGAAGTAAGATGTCTTGCCAACAGATTATTTTGAGCATATAAAATGATCTGTGAAGTTTACAGCTAAGAAGCCTCGACACACCCCAGTTTAAACTCCCATGCACCCTACTACTTAATGGAACTGCAGCTGTGTGGTTTACATACATGAGATGGGAAACGCATAGAAGTTACAGGCACGTTTTTTCCAGTTTCTGATTATGCCTGGCCTTTTCTTTATCCCAGAGCTCGTAACGGCAGCGTTGAACCTGCAAAGACTTACTCATATGTCATTAGCCCTGTTGACTGAGTCACATGAATAAGACATAAATAAAATTCTTCAGGGTCAGGTTCTAATACTGCTCTATTTATGTGAGTCTGCTGTGACTCACATCTCCTAAATTCAGGTCACATATAGCATAATACATATAGCAATTTAAAGTTGTCTGCCAAATTGTTTCACATAATGACTTCTGGGAATGGGAGGAAGTTTTAAGGAAGTTGCATTTGCAGTGTTTGATGCTGCATTGTTGCGTGATGGCACAACATGTGAAGTAGCTCAAACCGTTCTGGAGAGGTTCATCCAGGAGATAACTGTGATGTGTAACACATACCTTCCTCTCTCCACTGCAAAAATAGAAGTCATCTTTCCCACAGTCCAGCTGTGACCATATTCACTTAAACAAAACTACTTAGAATATCTGAAAAAGGACACCCAGTAACAAGAGAGAAACCAAACTGTTTATGCTGTGGTGAGAAAAAATTTGAATGGCCCTTTTGAAGGCTGAAGACTTGGTCTTAAAAGATGAACTAAAGAACAAATGGTGATCTAAACAGTTCTGCCTAGGTGTGTTTCCACTCAATATTGAAAAGTCCTCCAGGTAGCATCTGTGGGACACACTGGGGACTTAAATTTGCAGCCTAGCATATTATTTCATAGCTTCCCTTTCTTAAGGAATTAGGTACTAGGAATGTGGACATCCAAATTATTTTATCCTTGATTTGAACAAAGTTGAGTTTGTAGAGGTAGAATTCTTTAGCTGTGTTTCCTAAGGAAATGAGGCATATGTGATGATGCTGAATGTCTATAGGTCTATATCTGCATAGAAGACCACTTTCCTCACCTAATAACTTTGAATCTGTTTCCAAAGAGTCAAACAAAAATCTGTCAAAGAGTAGAAGTGTTAAGAAAGTTTTTGTAAGTCTCATGAAAATTGTCAGCTGTATAAAGAGAGACAACTCAAATTTCCAGATGTGACAGGCAGGTTATTCTGTAAAGCAGTCAGCTGCTAGAGGGCCAGTCAGCTGCTCCAGCTGCGGTTTTTACTTACAAGTAGTCTCAATCAGCCCTCGTGCTTACTTCCTTCTACCTAGACAATGTTAGTGAAGTAAACAGGAAATTGGGAATAGATGGATATATGAGGTTGCTGTTATGAAAAGGAATTGGGATTGCTATGGACATCTCAGAGCAGAGAACTGAGATGGAGAGACATGCAACGAAGAAACACAAACTAATAGTTGGTTGTATAAGAGATACTGTAGAAAGTATTTTAGAATGAAACCAGTAATGTAAGAGAAAGGAGTAGAAAATAGCAGAGATCTCAGATGAATGTCAGCCTAATCCAGTCTTCTGCAATTAACCAGGTTCAAGTCGAGCAGTCTGTCTAAGTGGTAATCGCCCAACCTGTAGTGAATCTTACATGCTGTTTGCTTATACCTCTCTACTTGTAAAGGTACTTCCATAATGCAATTTGGACTCATTTCTCCTTGTCCATCCTTCTGCAGACACTGGGGCTGGTTGCTATTTCCTTACAAGCAATCTTTTACACATGAAAGCCTGCTATCATGTCTCTCTTCGGTCTGCTAGACTAAACAAACCCAATTTCTTCATCAGTCATATTTTCTGAACCTTATTCTTCTTTTTGGGCCTTGTCCAGCTTTTCTCCAGTGTTTTAAAAAGAGAAAAAAAACAGTAGCCAGAACTATATGCAGCATTCCAGTTGAAGCCTTATAGGACTTAGTGAAGAAAAATAATGACTCTTTTTAATATAGAGTAGTCCTGATGGCATACACTGGCATAAGAGTAGCCTGTTTTTTCTTACATTTAACCTTAGTTTTGCAGCAGTGTCATATTATGGATCTCTATTCCGTCTGCAATTTAATGTAGGCCTCAAGTCCTGTCAGTGTTTTTTTATTGCCTTGCCAGTTGTTTTCACTTTGTATTTGATTTCTTGCTCCTTGGTACAGGAGCAGACCTTTCTTACGATGAGTTTCACCTTAGTTACTTTGCTTACAAGATTGCTGGTAGGGCAGAGCTCTTTGAATCTGAGCTTGACTTTAGCCAGTTTTACCAATGTACATGACAAATGAGAATCTGATAAACCTATCCTGAGTAAGCCAAGAGAGCTTATCTTTTTGGAAATTATTATCAGTATTACTTTATTTACAACAAAAGCATCTAAGAACATTCTCATATAAAGAGTTGTATTATTCAATTGTGGGGATGAAAATTAGAGCTATTAGTACTAATAACAGTTTCAAAATGAGCCAGTGCAAGCTTTGCATCCCCACAAACCAGCCTTAACTAAAGCAGCCAAATCTGGCAAGTCTAATTTTCTGCAGAGGTGAAGGCATCCAAACTTGAAGGCTGTTCAGAAAATACTGACCGAAGGAACCTTTCTGAAGGCATCAAGCCAAGGCAGATACTGGAATGTATTTTGAGTATCTATATCTACAAGTGCACATTATCCTGTGTCTTGGCAAAGTGTCTGAAGTAAAATATACATCCTACAGCTATGCCTACTAACTGCAGTCTTTGTACCACAGCTGGTGCATGTCTTGCTCGCTCAGTGTGTGTGTGGAGCTAGCAGAAGACCATCTGCATTGTCCCTTTAGACAAATACTAAATCTTGCTTTTCAGTTCTGTCCCTGGTGGCTGGATGAAGCATTGTACTGCTTCACACTGGCAGCTTTTTTTTTTTTTTTTGCCAGCAATAAATGCTGCAATATGGAGATACTAACTGGAATTTTCTCTTAGGGGTTTAGTTGCCTGAAACTTCCCTTTGCAGAATGGTGCCAAGCATACTTGAAGGCTGATTCATCAATATAGAGATACTCTATTATAGATAGCCTAATGTTGCTTGCATATATGTGCATGTAGTATTCTTGCTCACATTCTTAGGCATGTACAGATCTAAAGAAAAATCACTCTTGATCTGAAGAGTCTTAGACATTTTTATTTTCTAAATTTTTGCTTTTCTCTCTCATCACTGAATTTACTTGTCAAGAAAAAAGCTGTAGGCACTGTGTGAATTCCATCATACATATTTACCCCTTATGGCCCTTTCTGTGAACATACTCCATGACCTAAGAATGCCAGCAAACCGAGTACTAGCTTTGTGGTTCTGAACAGCTTCTTGCTATGCTGAAGAATGTTATTTAACATACAGCTCCAACAAAACCAGAGCTGCTAGAACATATTTCAGAATGCGAACAACAGCCAGAAACCAGGACTAAAGTACAGCTTTCTGTTCAATTACAGAATCATATGCAGATAAAACATGTCCATATTGTGTTTAATAAAGTATATATCCCCAAGGAGATATAAAGAGAGTATTCCTGTATTCCTGCTTTTAGTTAAAAATAGATAACAAGGTTAAAATCAGGATGACATTTAGTTTTGGGATTAATAAATCATCACGTAGCTTTTCAGTTCCCCACATATTAGAAGCAGCCTACCTACAAGATATTTATTTCTTGCC